GAAATACAAATACAAAAAAATACGAAAAAAATACGAAAAATTACAAAAAAAATCCAATTTTTGTATTTTTCTGTATTTTTTGTATTTTCATTTTTTTTTCTTTTCTTGTGAATATTTTATTATTTATAAAAAAAAATACTAATACCAAATGCAAATACAAAAAAATACGGAAAATTACAAAAAAATCCAATTTTTGTATTTTTCTGTATTTTTCCGTATTTTTTGTATTTTTTCGTATTTTTTGTATTTTTTGTATTTTTGCGTATTTTTTTAATTTTGGCGTATTTTTCCGTATTTTTTGTATTTTTGCGTATTTTTTTAATTTTGGCGTATTTTTCCGTATTTTTTGTATTTTTGCGTATTTTTTTAATTTTGGCGTATTTTTCCGTATTTTTGCGTATTTTTCCGTATTTTTTGTATTTTTCCGTATTTTTTTAATTTTGGCGTATTTTTCCGTATTTTTTGTATTTTAGCGCATTTTTTTAATTTTGGCGTATTTTTAAAATTTTTTTGTATTTTTCTGTATTTTTTTTGGATTTTTTGTATTTTTCTGAATTTTTTCGTATTTTCTCGTATTTTTCTGTATTTTTGTGTATTTGTATTTCGTATTAGTATTTTTTTTATAAATAATTAAATATTTACAGGAATTAAACTATTAACATTTTTTGTTAATTTCTTGATAATAATTCAATTATTTTCATAAATAATAAAATTTCTTACCAAGATTTAATTATTTTTATGATTAATAAATCTCGTCATATAATGTAAATTCATTTTATTACAATGTAACTCGACTTTTAATATAATTTTCAATTTAATTTTTTGATAAATTCGAGTTACATTGTAATAAAAATAATATACATTCTATGACGAGATTTATTAATTATAAAAATAATTAATGCTTGGTAAGATATTTTTTTAATTATGAAAATGATTGAATTATAATCAAGAAATTTAATAAAAAATGTTAATAGTTAAATTGAAGGGCTACATAAAATAAGGGGACGAACGCGAGGCTTGGAAGGGATACTACCAGTCGGGTAGCAGTGACAGGCCTTGAGCCCCTCGCTGCTACCTGACTGATATTATCCCTTTCAACCACGCGTTCATCCCCTTATTTTATGTAGCCCTTCAATTCTTGTGAATATTTTATTATTTATAAAAAAAATACTAATACCAAATACAAATACAAAAAAAATACGAAAAAATACGAAAAATTACAAAAAAATCCAATTTTTGTATTCTTCTGTATTTTTTGTATTTTCATTTTTTTTCTTTTCTTGTGAATATTTTATTATTTAAAAAAAAGAGGGTAACTGCACCAATTGCCGAGGGTGCACCAATTGTCGAGGATCATAATTTTCTTTTTTAGATAAATAGTATAATATATAATATTTAAGAACAAAAGAAATTTCTAAATAAACTTTGTATTTTCAACTATATATTTATATATTCAAATTTCATAGCGATTCTACTAAAATAATTATTTAATTAATATTATAATTCACTGCTGTGAAATTTACTCGAATCTCCATTTTCTTAATACTTCAGGTTGATTGAAACAGATGGTAATAGAAAATTTCCTGTCTGTTTGTATGTATGTATGTATGTATGTCCTCAAAATTTTGTTCACGTATAACTTGAAAAAGTCTTGACCGATTGAAGTAAAATTTGGCAATCTTTTAGGTATTGGTCTAACTTAAAATATTAGCTATATTTGATGAAAAAATATTAAGCTAAACAAAAGTTATGAATTTTTCAAAAAATTCAAAAAAAATTTTTTTTTAATTTTTGCAAATTAGCATAAATTTTTTAATTTATTAATAATATAAATGATTTTAAAGATATATAACAATAAATTGGCTTAAAAAATAATATTAATACGAATGAATTTATGAACTTATAAATTTTCCAAAAAAATCAAAATTTAAAAAAAAAAATTTTTTTTCTTTCAATTTTTAATTAAAAAAAATTTATAATTTTTTAAAAAATTTTTTAAATTAAAAAAAAAATTTTTTTTATTTTATTTTATTTTTTTATTTTACTTTTTTTTATTTTTGAAAGAAAAATTCTCGTAAAAATTTCAATTATTTTTATAAATAAAAGAAATACAGAAAAACACGGAATAATACGCAATAATACGAAATAATACGTTATAGTACGGAAAAGTACGATATAATACGGAAAAGTACGGAATAGTTCGAAATAATACGGAAAAATACGAAATAATACGAAATAATACGTTATAATACGGAATAATACAGAATAATACGCGGTAATACGTAATAATACGCAATAATACACAAGAATACGGAATAATACGCGATAATACGGAATAATACGCAGTAATACGCAATAATACAGAATAATACGCGATAACAAGGAATAATACACAATAATACGCGGTAATACGCAAGAATACGCGATAATACACAGTAATACGCGATAATACGGAATAATACTCAGTAATACGCAATATTACGGAATAATACGCAGTAATACACAATAATACGCAGTAATACGCGATAATACGGAATAATACGCAATAATACGCAGTAATACGGAATAATACGCAGTAATACGCAATAATACGGAATAATACGCAATAATATGCAGTAATACGCGATATTACGGAATAATACGCAGTAATACGCAGTAATACGCAATAATACGCAGTAATACGCAATAATACGGAATAATACGCAGTAATACGCAATAATACGCAGTAATACAGAATAATACGCAGTAATACGAAATAATACGCGGTAATACGGAATAATACATTTTTAAATTAATTATCAAATAAAAAGAATCTATATTAATAAATTCAGACTTTTGTCTGTACATTGCACGAAATTAATTTTTTCTAGCATAATATATTTTTCTTATTTTAGATTTTAGCAATTATGATACCATTAGTTCGAATTTGACTTTACTATAATTCCAAAAACTGGTGGAAATTTTAGATTAACTTATAATACAATAATTAAATTTGTACAAATAATTGACAAACATTGTTCTTTGCATTTTAATTAATTAAAAATAAATTATTTGATGATAAAAAGTCAATCTACTGATTTAAAATAGTAATATGTTTTCCTGTGAAATTAAATTCTCCGCTATTTCCCATTTTTCGAGACTGGTATACACACTATTGATTGTATTTGTAGAAACTAAAACCCATCGAAGACGGGTACAACAGCTAGTATATAATAAGATTGGAAACTGTAGACAAAAATTAGCAATCATTATTCATTATGCCCCGGCTCGGGGAGTATTTTGGACTTTTTTTACCTCGAAGAAACCCTTTAAATTTCATTTTGTTAAAAAATTAATTTTATATGGACATTAATGTTAACTACTGTGCAGTTTCGAAAACAATATTTATAGTTTATATTTTTTTTACATACTTAGGACTATTTCAGGAGTTGACAACAAATTGTGCACTTTTTTTTACCTCAAAAAATCCCTTTAAATTTAATTTTTATTAAAAATTAAATTTTTTTTGACGTTAATGTCAAATACTGTACAGTTATATGAACAATAATTATTGAATATATTTTTTTACATACTAAGGGACATTTAAGGAGTTGCCAAAAAAATTGTGCACTTTTTTAACCTTATAGAATCTCATTAAATTTTATTTTTTTGAAAAATTAATATTATTTAGATATTAATGTCTACTACTGTACAGTTATAAATAATAATTTTTGAGTACATTTTTTTACATACTTTAGGGACATTTCAGGAGTTGACAAAAAAATTGTGCACTTTTTTAACTTTATAGAATCCTTCTAAATTGAATTTTTCTACAAATTTAAATATATTTGGAAATTAATGTCAAATACTGTACAGTTATATGAACAATAATTATTGAAAACATTTTATTACATGCTTAGCAACATTGCAGAAGTTGACAAAAAAATTGTGCACTTCTTTAATCTATTAGAATTCTTAGAAATTTAATTTTGTTAAAAAATTAATTTTATTTCGTCATTAATGTCAACTACTGTACAGTTCTCTCAACAGTAATTATTGTTTATAATTATTTTTTCATACCTAAGGGACATTTCAGGAGTTGCCAAAAAAATGGTGTATTTTTTTACCTGATAGAATCACTCTAAATTTAATTTTGTCAAAAAATTAATTATATTTCGAAACTATTGTCAACTACTGTACAGTTAGATGAACAATAAGTATTGAATACATTTTATTTCACACTTAGGGACACTTTAAGAGTTAACAAAAAGATTTTGCACTTTTTTTAACTCAAAAAATCCCTCTAAATTTAATTTTATGTTGACATTAACGTTAACTACTGTACAGTTTCGTAAACAATATTTATTGTTTATATTTTTTTACATACTAAGGGGCATTTAAGGAGTAGCCAAAAAAATTGTGCACTTTTTTAACCTTATAATATTTCATTAAATTTGATTTTTTTCAAAAATTAATATTATTTTGACATTAATGTCAACTACTGTACAGTTATATAAACAATAATGATTGAGTACATTTTTATACACACTTAGGGACATTTCAGGAATTGACAAAAAAATTGTGCACATTTTCTACCTCAAAGAATTTTTATGACCCAGATATTAATTAGAATTGTTCCAGCAAGTTTGGGACCTGTAAAAAATTTTGTGACTAACAATTGTTAGTAAACAGAAGATAAAGTTCGATCAAAATATAATTTTTCATCTTCTGCTGATTATCGGCTATGGTTAATTTTATAAATTGTGAATTAAATTAATTTTGACGACCCAGATCTTAATTGGAATTCTTCTAGCAATAGTTTGGTACCAGTAAAAAATTTTATAACTAACAATTGATAGTAAACAGAAGATAAAGTTCGCTCAAAAAATAATTTTTCCTCTTCTGCTGATTATCAGCTGTGGTTACTTTTTATGACTCTTTCACGGTAAATCGTTAGGTGTTAAAATAACACCAAAATGGATTAAAATAACACTAAATTGGATTATTTTAATCCTTTTTGGTGTTATTTTAATACCTAACGATTTACCGTGTTCCTGAATTCCTAATGTCGCAATATATAATAATATTAAAACTATATATTCCAATTAATATTTTATTTTTATAAAAAAATTGAATTTAAAATTTTCTGTTCTATTATTTTTAAAATTGCCAATTTTATTTTAAAAAAGTGAGTGAGAAGTCAGCCGCGCGCAAATTGTTGCTGGTTATCTAAATTAAATAATCACTTAGTTAATTATTTCTCAACTCAAATTTTTGTTTATTATTATTGCGTGTCAGAGCATTATAATTAAACTATTTATAATATATAATAGAAATTAAATAATTTTGATTAAATTTTAAAATAGCCAGAAAATCTTAATGACTCAATGAAAAATTAATTCAAAATTGTACCTACATAATTAATTTGAAAAAAATGTTTGTTTGTAGAATAAATTACGAAGAGTATAATTAAAAAAATTGATTGATATTTATAGCGTGTGAATGCACATATATATTTGATTGTGACTATGTAGTGAGGGTGAAATATCATTATTTATTTTAAACGAATGAGTTGTTTGCTGCTACTACTGCAACTATTGCTAGCTGCCGTGAGTCGAATCTCGTTTCTGAATTACACGCGGGTGTTTATCACTGAGAAACAAGCTCTCTGTGCCCTGAATATCAAGTTCCTCGTCTTCATCTTCGTTTTAAGCACAGGAAAGCAAGATTTCATATTTCAGAAGTTGTATAATGATAACAATAATGTCGGCATTAGTCTAGTTTCACTGTGCTACGCCGTCTAAATGCCCTAAATCAACAGCATGTGTTTGTTGCTTGCTAGCATAAGTTCTGATTTAGAAGGAGTTTACACCGTAAGCCTTAAATATAAGCCTCCGCGCGCATAAACGGATATACCTCCAGGAGCATATATTTGCGCCTGCGCGAACACGTGGTCAAGGCAAACTCTTTCACAACACAGCTGCAGGCAAACACTTTGCGCAGACGCAAGTATATCCTCATGGAGGCATATCCGTTTATGCTCGCGGAGGCTTATATTTAAGGCTTACGGTGTAAACTCCTTCATACTCGCAAATATATATACTTACAAATAGGACTTACAAATACTACTACTTACTTACAAATAGATATTTACTCAACATTATGTGTAAAGTTTCGTTTCTCTTGTTTCTTTTTAAAAAAAAAAGTAAATAATTTTTTTATATTAGTAACTTACTATACTAAATTGTTTACCAAAATAGTAAATTTCAAGAATTTATTTCTTGAATTAAAAATTTTTAATTCCTAAATTTTTTCCCCTAAAAAAAGGTCATTCATACTTTTCCCTCTTTTTCTAATCAACAAAAAATTTTCTTTTGCAGGGACGTTACGCATCTATCATCAAGTGTTGACATATTTCACAGTCGTTAATGAGAGGTCGAAGGAGAAACAAACAATCAGCAAGGCGTCAACATGCAATGTGAAAAGATACTTGGACACCTATTATTATGAACTTTGTCGCATCACAATTTCACCAAAAATGATGTAAGTCAATTATTATTACTTCCTACATTCGGAAAATTATATTCCCTTGCTCTCTAATATACATTATGCAACATTATGCATTAACAACATTATGCAACAAGGGAGGTAAGTCCGAGTTTTTCAATATTGTGCGAGGTTATAAACGAGGTTACCTCCCTTGTCCCATACTTTGCTTTATACAACAAAGGCGTATTATGGTTACTCTATGCTACCTGTAACGGTGCATGCTAAGTTCTCCCATATGACCCAGCTGGTCAATAAAGTAACCATTATTGCCCTAGGGAGATAAAGGGTACTTTATTGACTGCTGGGTTATAAGGGGGAACTTAGTACGCGCCTGTACAGGTAGATAAAGTAACCATAATACGCCTGAGTTGTACGAAATCTTTTTCAAATTTTCCACAAAAGTTTTTTATTTTTTCTGTTTTACCAAAAGAGAAAATCAACTCTATCATCTTAAAAAAAGTTACCTCTTTCACCTTTTCTCTAAAGAATGAGATGTATGTAATAAAATTTTATTTATTTTTTGTTAAGTTAGTTTGAATTTTTTATATTGCCTCATTAAGAGAAAAATTAAAGAAAATTTTGAAAATGATTAATTTCAATATTTTGTTGTCTTTCAAATAGAAAGGGAAGTTAATCCCCTATTGTAAACAAGAAAAATAGTGACCCTTGGCAATGTTAAGAGAAACTATTTTCTTTTCGTCCTTGTCTACCCTTACTTTAACGGCAATAAAAGTACAAAATTAAAATTGAGCTCTTTCTCCTTTTATTTTCTTATGGATAGTTTTCGCCTTCTACCTAAATTTTCCATAGCGTGTGTTAAAAAAAAGAAAATTCAATAATAGTATTATTTTTTTGAATTCACGTCTGATAAACTAAAATTTTATTTTCAGAAACGTATTTTATTTAGCAGTCTTTAATAAGAAGTCGACAGAGTAAGGACTCAATAAAATACCGAAGCATGACTCGACATTGACCGGAAATCTTCAAAAGCTGAGTTCACCAAAGTAAGTCAAAGATATACCAATATTTTATTTTTACATTTAAAAATAAAAAAAATTAAGAAGTAAAATTTCAAAATAAAAATTTTTTTTAATAAAACGAAAACTTTAAATTTGGTAAAGATTGAAATGCAAAAATAATTTTAAAAAAACAGCATAGAATATTCTTTCTATTTTTTAAGGCAAAAACATACTGTTTTTTCAAATATCTCAGATAGTTAAAAGAAAGTCTTACATTTTTAATCTTTTACTAAAAAATAGCGCATTATTCCTCTTAAAAAAATAAAAACATTACAAAATAGTTCTATCACGCAGATTTTTTTTAAATTAAACTTTTATCGAAAATATTAATTTGCAATTTTATTGTCAACTACTGTACATTAATATAAACAATAATTACTATTTTTATTTTTTTTCATACTCAAAAACATTAGGGGAGAGTCTCCAGTTGTGAGACACCTCCAGTTGTGAGACAGTCAATTTTTTTTAACATGCAATATTAAAAAGCCGATTGGTTTATATAAAAACATTTCTTTTTATATGAGCCAACTTTTTCGTGTACGCTGAAGCGGATATATAAACTGTTTTTGTTAAATACCAACACTGTGTGTGATAATCGACTAAAAAGCGTTTTTTCAATAAATGCAAAGTACTTTTTTTCAAAGTTAATTAATTGGAAAAGGTAAATGTAATGCATTTTCTTTTAGTGTTTTCCTTATATTTTGTGATGCAATATTGCATTGTTCCAATCTACGGTTGAAAATAATTTAATTTTCCTTTTTCAAAATAGCGACAATTTCTGGGTGTGAGACACAGCATGTCACCAGTTGTGAGACGGTGTCAACACCCACCTGGGCAGCATAAAAAATACGACTTTGCAGGCATACTATTTAAATGTTGTTTTGACTTTTTTTTCTTGTATTTTTGGGCATGTCAAGTGGAAAAAAGTCAATTGATTCAGAAGAAATCAATTTTAATGCTCTTGTTGAAGCTATTAAATTGTGTTTATTTGATAGTCATATTTTGCGAATAAATATTATTATTTAGTATATAATAATATATATTATTAATATATTTAATTATTTCTACTAAACATAACGTTTTATGTCAAATTTATTAAATTTTAGCAATTTTTAATGAGCGTCTCACAACTGGAGACATTTTTTTTGTTAACAAAAGCGATGTGCTCGGAAAATGTATCGTAAAATTTTTTGAGTTCATCGAAACACTATACTTTCTTTTAATAAAAGTTGCGTATTTCTGTTACCTTTCGAAAGGTGTATTTTATTAACAATTTCGTTTACCCGTTTACAATTTACGGGTCAAAAATAAAACCCGTCTCACAACTGGAGACTCTCTCCTACCTAACAAAGTTCATAAAAAAAATTAAGAAATTTTTCCACCCTCTCGATGTATTTTAAATAAAACTTTCTTCCAAAAATACTAATTTTCCAGCCATTAATGTCCATTGCTGTAAGTTCTTACAAACAGTAATTACTGTTTATAATTTTTTTAATACTTAAAAAAATATATACTGAGTTTGTAAAAAGTTCCAGAGTTTTAAAATAGATTTGTTTTAAAATACTTTTTTCTCAAATTTCCATTTTAATTTAATTAATTTCCACTGCTATACGTTCTTACAAACAGTAATTACAGATTATAATTTTTTTCTTACTCAGAAATATATACTGAGTAATAAAAAAATTTAAGAATGTTTCCTACCAACATTTTTCTTGTAAATTAGACTTTTTTCTGAAATGTATTCTGAGTATGCAAAAAAATTAAGGACTTTTCCAATCCAATAGATTCGCCTTCAATTAGACATTTTCTATAAATTATCTATTTTTAAAATATTAATGTCCATTGCTGTACCTTATTTTTAGCAGTAATTACTGCTTATAAATTTTTTCATACTCAGAAATGTTTTCTGAGTTTGAAAAAAAATTAAGGACTTTTTCCATCTAATAGATTTGCCTTAAATTAAACATTTTCTATTTTTAAAATATTAATGTCCACTGTTGTACCTTACTTTAAGCAGCAATTACTGCTTATAATTTTTTTATACTCGGAAAGGTTTTCTAAGTATGCAAAAAAATTGAGGATTTTTTCCATCCAGTAGATTCGATTTAAATTAGACATTTTCCATAAATTTTCTGTATTTAAATTATTAATGTCCACTGCTGTACCTTATTTTTAGCAGGAATTACTGGTAAAAATTTTTTTCACACTCAGGAATGTCTTCTGAGTATGCAAAAATTTTAAGGACTTTTTCCATCCAATAGATTTGCCTTAAATTAAACATTTTCTATTTTTAAAATATTAATGTCCACTGCTGTACCTTATTTTAAGCAGTAATTACTGCTTATAAATTTTTTCGTACTCAGAAATGTTTTCTGAGTTTGCCAAAAAACTTAAGGAATTCTTCCATTCAATAGATTCGCCTTAAATTAGACATTTCAATAAATTTTCCATTTTTAAACTATTAATGGCCACTGCTGTACCTTACTTTAAGCAGCAATTACTGCTTATAATTTTTTTTGTATTCGGAAATGTTTCTTGAGTATGCAAAAAAAATTAAGTACTTTTTCCATTCAATAGATTCGCTTTAAATTAGACATTTTCCATAAATTTTCTGTATTTTAATTATTAATGTCCACTGCTGTACCTTATTTTTAGCAGTAATTACTGGTAATAATTTTTTTCACACTCAGGAATGTCTTCTGAGTACGCAAAAAAATTAAGGACTTTTTCCATCCAATAGATTTGCCTTAAATTAAACATTTTCTATTTTTAAAATATTAAAGTCCACTGCTGTGAATTATTTCAAGCACTAATTACTGCTTATAATTTTTTTCATACTCAGATATGTTTTCTGAGTTTGCCAAAAAATTAAGGAATTCTTCCATTCAATACATTCGCCTTAAATTAGACATTTTCTATCAATTTTCCATTTTTAAACTATTAATGGCCACTGCTGTACCTTACTTTAAGCAGAAATTACTGCTTACAATTTTTTTCATACTCGGAAAGGTTTTCTGAGTTTGCAAAAAAATTAAGGACTTTTTCCATCCAATAGTTTTGCCTTAAATTAAACATTTTCTATTTTTAAAATATTAATGTCCACTGCTGTACCTTATTTTAAGCAGTAATTACTGCTTATAAATTTTTTCGTACTTAAAAATGTTTTCTGAGTTTGCCAAAAAATTAAGGAATTCTTCCATTCAATAGATTCGCCTTAAATTAGACATTTTCTATCAATTTTCCATTTTTAAACTATTAATGGTCACTGCTGTACCTTACTTTAAGCAGAAATTACTGCTTACAATTTTTTTCATACTCAGATATGTTTTCTGAGTTTGCCAAAAAATTAAGGAATTCTTCCATTCAATACATTCGCCTTAAATTAGACATTTTCTATCAATTTTCCATTTTTAAACTATTAATGGCCACTGCTGTACCTTACTTTAAGCAGAAATTACTGCTTACAATTTTTTTCATACTCGGAAAGGTTTTCTGAGTTTGCAAAAAAATTAAGGACTTTTTCCATCCAATAGTTTTGCCTTAAATTAAACATTTTCTATTTTTAAAATATTAATGTCCACTGCTGTACATTATTTCAAGCAGTAATTACTGCTTATAATTTTTTTCATAGTCAGAAATGTTTTCTGAGTTTGCCAAAAATTAAGAAATTCTTCCATCCAATAGATTCGCCTTAAATTAGACATTTTCTATAAACTTTCTATTTTTAAAATATTAATGTCCACTGCTGTACCTTATTTTAAGCAATAATTACTGCTGATAAATTTTTTCATACTCAGAAATGTTTTCTGAGTTTGCCAAAAAATTAAGGACTTTTTCCATCCAATAGAGTTGCCTTAAATTAAACATTTTCTATTTTTGAAATATTAATGTCCACTGCTGTACCTTACTTTAAGCAGCAATTACTGCATATAATTTTTTTCATACTCGGAAAGGTTTTCTGAGTATGCAAAAAAATTAAGGACTTTTTCCATCCAATAGACTTGCCTTAAATTAAACATTTTCTATAAATTTTCCATTTTTAAACTATTAATAGCCACTGCTGTACCTTACTTTAAGCAGTAATTACTGCTTGCAATTTTTTTCATACTCGGAAAGGTTTTGCTGAGTTTGCCAAAAATTAAGGAATTCTTCCATCCAATAGTTTTGCCTTAAATTAAACATTTTCTATTTTTAAAATATTAATGTCCACTGCTGTACCTTACTTTAAGCAGCAATTACTGCTTGCAATTTTTTTCATACTCGGAAAGGTTTTCTGAGTTTGCCAAAAATTGAGGAATTCTTCCATCCAATAGTTTTGCCTTAAATTAAACATTTTCTATTTTTAAAATATTAATGTCCACTGCTGTACCTTACTTTAAGCAGCAATTACTGCTTGCAATTTTTTTCATACTCGAAAAGGTTTTCTGAGTTTGCCAAAAATTGAGGAATTCTTCCATCCAATAGATTTGCCTTAAATTAAACATTTTCTATTTTTAAAATATTAATGTCCACTGCTGTACCTTATTTTAAGCAGTAATTACTGCTTATAAATTTTTTCGTACTCAGAAATGTTTTCTGAGTTTGCCAAAAAAATTAAGGAATTCTTCCATTCAATAGATTCGCCTTAAACTAGACATTTTCAATAAATTTTCCATTTTTAAACTATTAGTGGCCACTGCTGTACCTTACTTTAAGCAGCAATTACTGCTTATAATTTTTTTTGTATTCGGAAATGTTTCTTGAGTATGCAAAAAAAATTAAGGACTTTTTCCATTCAATAGATTCGCTTTAAATTAGACATTTTCCATAAATTTTCTGTATTTTAATTATTAATGTCCACTGCTGTACCTTACTTTAAGCAGTAATTACTGCTTGCAATTTTTTTCATACTCGGAAAGGTTTTCTGAGTTTGCCAAAAATTGAGGAATTCTTCCATCCAATAGTTTTGCCTTAAATTAAACATTTTCTATTTTTAAAATATTAATGTCCACTGCTGTACCTTACTTTAAGCAGCAATTACTGCTTGCAATTTTTTTCATACTCGGAAAGGTTTTCTGAGTTTGCCAAAAATTGAGGAATTCTTCCAACCAATAGATTCGCTTTAAATTAGACATTTTCCACAAATTTTCTGTATTTAGATAATTAATGTCCACTGCTGTACCTTATTTTTAGCAGTAATTACTGGTAATAATTTTTTTCACACTCAGGAATGTCTTCTGAGTATGCAAAAAATTAATGACTTTTTCCATCCCATAGCTTTGCCTTAAATTAAACATTTTCTATTTTTAAAATATTAATGTCCACTGCTGTACCTTAGTTTAAGGAGCAATTACTACATATAATTTTTTTCATACTCAGAAATGTTTTCTGAGTTTGCCAAAAAATTAAGAAATTCTTCCATCCAATAGATTCGCCTTAAATTAGACATTTTCTATAAATTTTCTATTTTTTAACTATTAATGGCTACTGCTGTACTTTACTTTAAGCAGTAATTACTGCTTGCAATTTTTTTCGTACTCGGAAAGGTTTTCTGAGTTTGCCCAAAAATTAAGGACTTTTTCCATCTAATAGATTTGCCTTAAATTAAACATTTTCTATTTTTAAAATATTAATGTCCACTGCTGTACCTTATTTTAAGCAGTAATTACTGCTTATAAATTTTTTCGTACTCAGAAATGTTTTCTGAGTTTGCCAAAAAATTAAGAAATTCTTCTTTCCAATAGATTCGCCTTAAATTAGACATTTTCTATAAATTTTCTATTTTTTAACTATTAATGGCTACTGCTGTACCTTACTTTAAGCAGTAATTACTGCTTGCAATTTTTTTTATACTCGGAAAGGTTTTCTGAGTTTGCCAAAAATTGAGGAATTCTTCCATCCAATAGATTCGCTTTAAATTAGACATTTTCCACAAATTTTCTATTTTTAAAATATTAATGTCCACTGCTGTACCTTATTTTTAGCAGTAATTACTGGTAATAATTTTTTCACACTCAGGAATATCTTCTGAGTATGCAAAAAATTTAAGGACTTTTTCCATCCAATAGCTTTGCCTTAAATTAAACATTTTCTATTTTTAAAATATTAATGTCCACTGCTATACCTTAGTTTAAGGAGCAATTACTGCATATAATTTTTTTTATACTCGGAAAGGTTTTCTGAGTATGCAAAAAATTAAGGACTTTTTCCATCCAATAGATTTGCATTAAATTAAACATTTTCTATTTTTAAAATATTAATGTCTACTGCTGTACATTATTTCAAGCAGTAATTACTGCTTATAATTTTTCTCATAGTCAGAAATGTTTTCTGAGTTTGCCAAAAAATTAAGAAATTCTTCCATCCAATAGATTCGCCTTAAATTAGACATTTTCTATAAATTTTCTATTTTTTAACTATTAATGGCTACTGCTGTACCTTACTTTAAGCAGTAATTACTGCTTGCAATTTTTTTTATACTCGGAAAGGTTTTCTGAGTTTGCCAAAAAATTAAGGACTTTTTCCATCCAATAGATTTGCATTAAATTAAACATTTTCTATTTTTAAAATATTAATGTCCACTGCTGTACCTTACTTTATGAAGCAATTACTGCTTATAAATTTTTTCATACTCAGAAATGTTTTCTGAGTATGCAAAAAATTTAAGGACTTTTTCCATCCAATAGATTTGCCTTAAATTCAACATTTTCTATTTTTAAAATATTAATGTCCACTGCTGTACATTATTTCAAGCAGCAATTACTGATTACAATTTTTTTCATACTCGGAAAGGTTTTCTGAGTTTGCCCAAAAATTAAGGACTTTTTCCATCCAATAGATTTGCCTTAAATTAAACATTTTCTATTTTTAAAATATTAATGTCCACTGCTGTACCTTACTTTAAGCAATAATTACTGCTTATAATTTTTTTCATACTCGGAAAGGTTTTCTGAGTTTGCCAAAAAATTAAGGAATTCCTCCATCCAATAGATTCGCCTTAAATTAGACATTTTCCTTAAATTTTCTCTTTTTGAAAATATTAATGTCCACTGCTGTACCTTATTTTAAGCAGTAATTACTGGTTATAATTTTTTTCATATTTAGAGTTATGAAAAGAAGTTAAGACATTTTTTCATTTAAAAGATTTACCTAAAATTAGACATTTTTATAATATTTGTAATTTTTCAATTATTATTGTCCGCTGCTGTACGTTGCCATGACAATTATAAGTATGATTATTATTAATTAATAAATTATTAATTATAAAATAGAAGTAAGTAAAATTATAAACTTAAATATGATGTAAAATTTTATTTTTTCTTGATAACTTCTAATTTTTTTTTTAATGTTGTTTTAGAAAATTATTGAAAATTTTGTAAATTGTAGTCTTCTCAAAATCTCAGAATTACAGGGAATAGTAAAATTAAAAAAATGAAATTTAATTTACCTTTAGCATTGTTAGAGAATTTGTTTGGAAATTTCTTTGTTTAAAAAGAAAATTAAATTTCAATGTTATTAAGAAAAGTAATATTTCGTAATAAATAAATGTTTATTTCGGAAAAAAATTCTTAAAAATAAAAGTGAAATAATTATAGAACTCAAAACTTAGAAAATTTAAAATAAAAAAAGTAAAATTTTTAAGTATCATTATTTTTAATTAATCATCAAAAATATAAATGAGTATAATTATTAATTAAAATTTCAAGTTAAATTTTTCTATTGGCTATTTCTAATTTTTTCTTAAAATTTTGAAAATCATTAAATATTTGAATATTTAGTGGACTTTTCATTAATTCAGATTTAGAGGGAAAAGTTAATCCCTTCTTGTAAACAAGAAGTTTAATGATTCTCGGCATTGTAGGGAATTTGATATTTTCTTTCCATCCCCCCTTTTTTTTCTCAACGACAATAAAAATAAGAAATTAAAATTGAGCCTTTTCCAAATTTTTGTCTTCATGGTAAATGATTTTCGCCTTTTATCAGAGTAAGTTTCCCATAGTACATATCACAGTTCCCTTGACCATCTTTAGTGGAGTAACCAGTTGAACAATAAATTTTATTTCTCCATAGAATTAACTGTTATTCAATATTTTTAATAGTTTTAAGTGAAATAAGGGCTTAAAAAATAAAACAATATAAAATTTTATCTGTCAAATAGGATATGCAAGAGTCTTAAAACTTGGACACATTTTTGAAGAAAGGAATTCATATTAAATGCTCTGGTCATTCTTTATAATGAGTAAGTACCAAAACTATTAGTTTTTTTAAGCATTGAAAAAATAGTAATTTAAATTAATAAATAGTGTAATTTAATACGTGAATAATAGAAAAATTAATTAAAATTAACAGAATTTTATTTATTGATAACTTATAATATTAATTAGATTTATAATAATTTGGTGCTACAATTTATTTGGTTTTTTTATTAATATGTTTTAATTTAATTAATTATTCATTGCTTCCTTGAATCAAACGTGTAGTTTGATTAAATAAATAATATTTTGTAGCAGTAATTAAAAAAATTTTAAACGTAGGAATTAATTTTAACTTGTGTACTTTTTTCTACGACTTAAATTTTTTTTCAGAGAAATATTTTTTTTGCAGTCATCGAAGAGAAGTCGACAACGAAACAAGAGTCAAAAGAAGATACCGTCGCGTGATTGAAAAATGTTTTAAAAATCTTCGATATCTCGTGAAGTATTTAGCTTTTATTGTATTAGGAAATATTATTACTTAGCTAGGGATTTTGAAACTAAAAAAATGCAAATGTATTAGCTAGGAAATTATCAAAGTATGTAAGTAGTTTTAAGCAGAAAACAAAATTTATTCTTCAAGAAGATTCATCATCCGGCGTCAACTTTATCTCAACATTAAGGGGTAAGTCAAAAATAATATTTTATTATTCTTTATCTTATCCTACACCCAGGAAATTGTTTTATTTAATTAAAAAAAAATCTATTAACGTTATTCTTTACTTAAAGAAAATTATTTTAAATTAATTTAAATAAAATTGTATTTATATTTCTCACCAAAAAAGATTTTCAAAGGAAAAATTTTATTCAATAAAAAATTTCTTTTTTAACAACATATTACTTTATTTCTCTCTCTAAATTTTGAATCAAATGAAACCTATTATCTTGAATGAAAAAAATTCGACATATAATTTTATAAATAACAATACTTAAACAATCTGCTTTTAATAAAACAACAGCTGGGTGTAGGTTTTAGTTTTAAACAGTAGTTAGTATTTATTGTGCTCTAATGATACATGCTTTTAAAAATTGAGAAATTTTCGATTTAAAGTTATAAAATTATAAATTACATTAATAATTTCATTTGATTTATAATTTCAAAATATACTTTCTGTTTTTTAATTTAATTTAAACAGGTTGTCTAACAACGATTGACAAAAGATTACCCGCCTTTTAACTAATTTTATTTCTTCTTTCTTTGGACAAAAATATGGTAACTGACATATTTAACAATAAATAATTATCACATGATAGAAACAAACGATAATATAAATCCTCTAACTTTTGTAAGATTAAAAAAAAATTTTTATTCACAAAAGATTTTAATTTTTGTATAAATAAAAATATAAATTTTTAGAAATTTCTCTATCTTTCAATGAAATTCTCTGACATTTCTATGACATTGCTATGACTTTTCCCTGACTTCATTGACTTTACTGACCGTTAGACCCTGTTGAATTTAAACTTTGGGTAAGCCTTTATTTCAATTAATTAAACGTCTATTGAAACGAAAGTTAATCTATAAGTTTAAAACATTTAATATAGTCGAATTTAAAAATGTAGAAATAATTATAAAAATTGAATATTCTGAAGTTTTAAAATAAATTGAAATATCATTTTCTCAATTTTTAGAAACATTAAAAATCCATAGTAGATTATATATTTTTATTGACAAAAAAATTAGTGCGTACTTTTGTTGTGCCAAAAAAAAAGATTTCCAGAAATTGCAAAAAAATAGTACTAAACCTTCTCGTAAGTTATATTTGACTAATTTTGCAAATTTTTAAGTTCAAATATTCTATTGTTAAATTTTAGTAATTAATTTAAATAATTCCATTTTCTTAATTAAATTTTTTATTCATTTCTTCCTTTAATTTTTTTCCTTAATTTTTTTTAAGTTATTCATTTTTTAATTGTGTATTAACTTTTAAATCACATTTTTTATTTTCTTACTTGTTTTTTCTTTTTTACTTTATTTTCTAGTTTTGAAATTTATATTTATTTGTACACGGAGAAAATTTGTTCCTTATATTTTATAGAATTTTTCAATATAAAAGTTGGGATATAATGGCGTAAACGTAATTATTTAATATTTCACGAAGATTTCTAATAATTAATTTAGTAATTTCAAACTTTCAAATTTATTCAAAATACGTATATTTTTAAAATTTAACATAAAAATTAGAGAAGAGGAATTTTAATAAATTACTGTTTTATTATATTAAATATAAATTCAAACATTATTCTGTACAATAATAAATGTTTTATCGAATTTAAATTTAGTAAAATTTCAAGAATAAATTTTGTCCGTGTACAACACTTACCTTTATGGAATTTATTAATTTCTTTAAATTTAAATGTTAAATATTTCTTTTTAATAATTTATTTTTCTATTTTGTTTTCCTATTTAAACTTTTTATTTTCTTTCTTTACTTCACTTAATTAGTTTTTCTAATATTCTATAATTTTTGTTTGTTTAAAGTTAAAAACAATTTATTTACTTGTTAAGTTTATATTGAAAAGAAATTTAGAAAACGTAAAAATAACTTTTATGCAACTTAGGCGTATTATTTTCACTTTATCTACCTGGACCTTTATTGACCGCTCGCAGGTCAATAAAGTACCCATTATGACTCTAGGGTAATAATAGTATTGACCAGTGGGTTACATGGGAGAACTTAGCAAACACCGGCACAGGTAGCCTATAGTGACCATAATAAGCCTTTGTTGCATAAACTAAAGTATGCAACATGTATCCAGAGAAAAGATATATTTGGCTCAGAACCAACTAGACTTTTTATTTGCTTCAAATAAATTTTATTTGGTTTAAATAACATTTTATTTAGCTCAAATATATTTTATTTACGTAGAATAAAATTTTTATTTGAAACAAATAAAAAGTTTAGTTGGTTCTGAGAGAAATATAAGTTTATTTAACTCAAATAAAATATATTTGGTTTAAATAAAATTTCTCTCTGCGTGTGGGAGGTAACCTCGGCACATAAACTCGGACTTACCTCCCTTGTTACATAATGTACTATTATTTATTTATGATTTACTATTTTTTAAAACAAAGAAAAAAATTTGCAAAATTATACATATAAAGGGAAAAAGGTTTTATTTGTTAGTAAAATTCTTAAAAATCAAAAAAATTTATTTTAGAAAAAACTTTTATTTTACTTCTTAAAAAAGTACATTTTCTTGTAATTCTTCTTTCTTCTTAAATTAACGCAAAATAACTGTTGTCGATCCAAAGGTAGCATCAGACTTGAACCATCTAGAAAACAGAAAATAGACGAAGTTTAATAATTAACAGGTAGAGAATTTTATTGTTAATTGAACGGCACGCATAAAGTTTACGCACTTTTATTTTTGTTGAGAAAAATTAAGGAAGAAGGAGAATTGAAAATGTCTTCCAGTAAGAAACTTCAATTCCTCTTCATTCCTTATGATATTTATTTCTAAATTTGAATCAGTTAGAAGGAACAACAGTCATAATTATACATAATTGATTTCGATTGAAAGTAATTGAAATTGATGCTGTATTATTATGGCTAAAAATACTTCTGATTGATTTAAATAATCGAATTTTCCTCCAACACTTTCCAACCTTAGTTCCTAAACCTCCCCTCCTTTTTTCTACTCTTTCCGATTTTTCTATCCCCTCCATTTCCTACTCTTACAATGGAGAGTTAGTTCTCTGTTGGTGGAAGGAGTTGTAGGAAATGGAGGGGATAGGAAAAGAGGAAGTTGGCGACTTCTCTCTCTCCCTAGGGAGAAAAAGAAGTCGTTTCCCAAGTGGGAGAGTTTGACGACTTTCTCTTCCACTTGGGATAAATCTCCCACTTTGGAGAAATCAAAGTCGTCCTCGAGGAGAGAGTTTCCGACTTCGATCTCCTCGATTAGGGAAGTTGGAAATGGAGACTTTCCACTTCTCAGTAGAAGTCGAAGTCAAGGAGAGGAGCACCACAACTCTCCTTGAGAAAGAAAAAGAGGGGGGGTGTACGTCAATTTTTTTCCCAACTCTAGAGCTCGGTATTCACAGTAACCTTCTTACCCGTTCGACTTCTTCTGGAATTGAGAAAGTCGCCATCCCCTTTCTGAGGACGACTTCTGACTTTTCTCTCTTCCTACTCAAGGAGAGTGAAGTCGACAACTTCTCTCCTTGAGGACGACTTCGTTTCCCAGGTGGGGAGAGAAAGTCGTCACACTCTCCCCTAGGAAAGGTAAGGGTGAGGAGGTAATTCTCAAGTCCTTCACTAGGGAGTCTGTGAAGGACTGAGTTGGTGGAAAGACTTTCTTCGGAAAGAAGACTTGTTGCAAGTCTTTTCCACCAAAAAGGAAGGGAGGGAGAAGTGATGTCTGCTCTCCATTGGTCAACAGAGACTAGCCGGTCCCACAGGGAAAGATACGACACTTCATTTTACTCCCAAAGAGAAACTTCTACTTCGGGAGAAGAAGTTTCCCTCTACTCCCTAGAGAGTAAGAGAAGCGCGTTTTCCCTAGGGGAGACTGAGTCCCTCCAAAGGAGAGGTGACATCAGCTCTACTAGGTAGATAGAGAAGTCGGTCCCCCAGGGAAAGAAGACGACACTTTGCCTTATTCGCCAGGAGTGAAGCAATTTCTACTAATGTAGATATTGCCCCACTGCCCAGAGAATAAGTAAAGTGCGTTTTCCCTAGGGGAGACTTAAAAGACAGAAAAAATAAGAAGAAATGTAAAAAAGAAGATAGAAGAAAAGAGATAGTTGAGAGAAACAGTTAACCCAGCCGTTTACCAAAGATACAGTGAACGACTAAGATGGAAAATCTAGTCGGTCCTCCAGGGAAAGAAGACGACACTTTGCCTTATTCGCCAGGAATAAGTCAATTTCTACCACTAGTGGGAAAAACTGTCCTATTCTCCAGAGAATAAGCAAAATGCGTTTTCCCTAGAGGAGACTGAAGTGAAAATACACAGAGAAAGAAATAAGATGATCACTTCCTCTTATTTTCCCGGCGCAAAACAATTCCTGCCACTGCTGGAAGAAATTGTTCTACTCTTAAGAAAATAAGTGAAGTGCGTTTTCATAAGGAAATTAAATGGAAATAAAATGATAAATTGATACATAGAATGTAGAAAAAAACAAGTCGGTTCCCTCCAGGGAAAGACACGATCACTTCATCTTTTTCGCCAGGAGGAAAACAATTTCTGCTGCTGGTGGGAGAAATTGTCCTACTTCTCAGAGAATAAGCGGAAGTGCGTTTTCCCTACAAGAAACTGAGATGCCGACTTCACTTTACTCCCAAGTAGGGTAGTCGACAAAGCCCTGCAAAAGACTTTTTTCCCCTAGGGAGAGAAGTCTAAGATTTCTTAAGAAGTCTTTGACTTATTTCCTTAGGAAAAAAAAGAAGAGTTGAACTCCTTTTTAAAAGCTTCTCTTCTCCCCTGGATAAGTTGTCTCCAACTCCACCACATCCATGAAGAGAAGAGACGCTTTTTTCCCTGTGATCTAAAGTGACTCTATTTACACTACAAAAAATATACTCTATTACAATTAATATAGTAGTAGTTATTACTATTACTGTTACCCAAGAGATTCAATAATCTTTTTTTGTTTCAGGATAATAAGATTCAAAACTAGAAGGAGGAGAAAACTGAAAATCGATTCATCATCTAACTGGAGGATTTTTAACTACTATAATGACGATTTTCTCTTTTTTGTATTAAAAATTTATAACTTAGAACCGAATATTCTTTTGTACAATCTTTCATAAAAAGATAATAAACTGTTAAATAATAAATGAAATGTAATAAACTAATTTATATGTAGTATTAATTGAAACTTTCAACTGGCAGAAATCTAATTATATAGTTTATCTCGATCACCCCGAGTCAGATATTGACACTTACATTTATAGTTATATTTTTATATTTAACTAATTTATAATAAACTGAATTTATACTCTGTTAAATTTAGTCGTAATTAAATAAAAATAAAATTTTTTAACATGAATGCAACTGTAAAGAGGATTCAGGATCTAGCCAGAGAGTTTTATTAGCAAATTCAGGATAGCCACAAGTCATGTCAGTTAAAGAATAATTAGGGAATTTGTAAAAATTCTTAAAAGTCGAAAGTCAGAAAACAAAAATTTAATCGAAAAGAAACTACAAATTTAAAAAATGTGCTTAAGTGAATGTTTAGTTATTGTGTTTAGACTTTATCTTATGTTTCCGTTACAAATAAAATTGTTAATCAGTTATGCAAAATTTTAAATGATTCTAAAATTCGTTAGTCCAGAAAAAAGAGGAATTAGTCCGAAAATTTGTAAATCAAATTTTGCGACCATCCTGAAGTTACTTATTTTCAGGGATTAAAAGATTTCCTCCTTATATAGTATAGTAGGCTTGCGTGCGCTTACATTTTAATTTGAATAAAAAAATATGTAATACTGTATGATTTAATATATTGATAAATAGAATATTGTATTAAAAAATAGCAATTCATTTTTTATTGACTTCTTTAATTCCTATCTTTAATTATTATTAAGTAAAATAATAAAGAAAAATAATTATATTCGAAAACAATGGAAAACAAGGATTTAGACTTGATACTCAGATGCAAGCGCTACTACCAGTTGGGTAACAGTAAGTATTGTATAAACAAATTGTACCAATTACTGTGATATTTTAGCTATAAAAAATACTTGCAATTAAAAGTAATAAGTACAATTTTAATTAATGAAATTAAAATTTTTTTATTGGTTTTATTTATCATGGTTTAGTATTTTTTCTTATAAATTTTTAAATTTAGAATTTTTTTATTTAAATAATTTTATTACAATTACATTAAAATTTTAAGAAAATTTTTTTTTTACTAAATTTAGAGAGGGCGTTAAAAGGTTAAGTTTATAAAATGTTTTATGTCTTTAAAAAACTGTAAAGATACTTCTAAAAAAATCACAGTACTTGGTACCTTACTAACTACAATTCAAACCAAAACCTACACCAGGATATTCTGTTTCATTAAATAAAAATACGCATTTACTGAAATATTATTTTTCTTTTAATAGATTAAAATTAAAATTTACTTTTAATTGTAATTTAATTTCCATTTTATTGGTTTACAAAAAATTTATATATATTTAGTGATTTTATATTTACAAAGTTAGTAGATAAAATTTCTTTTACTGAAAACTATTTTTTTCATAAAAAATTTCAATGGGAATATATTTAAATTAATTTATCTTTTAAAATTAAGATTGAAATTAAAAAAACGAATTGGTTAGCAGAAAAATGAAACATTTTCCTGGATGTAGGCTGTAATAAAGGTAAATGAAAGTTAATTTACAAGACTTACCCCAAATCAGCGGTGAGAAAATGTTGCTGTACAGTTGACGATGGCGTTGCTCCTCTTGTGTGCAATTAAAATTATTTTTCATCTTTAAAACTATTAACTTACTTTTCTAATTTCCTGGCTAATACAATTTGTTATAAAATACCTAGCTAAATAAATTTCAACACACAAATATTTTTCACACTCGGACAAAAACTAATCTAATACATTTAAAGCTAAACTCTAAATTCAGTATGAAGATTTTCCAGCATTTTTGAGGAACACTTCGGTGAATTGTTGAGTCTTCTTTTTCTTCGGATTTATTACTGATGATTGTTGAACAAAAATATCTCTGTAAAAAAGGTAAGTCGGTTACAAAAGAAGAAAATATTTAAACAAATATAAAAATAATTATTATTAATTAATAAAATTTATTAAAATAATGGAAATAATTAAAATAAAATTTAATTAAATATAAACATACAAATATTACAAAATAAATAAAACAATAAAAATAAATATTTAATTTAAAACAAAATATTTAAAAACAATTATGAATAAAACAAAAAAAATTGAAACACAAAAATAATTCATTATTAAAAAATTATAAATAAAAATATATTTTATAATGTAATTTATAATTTTTACATTAATAAAAAATTTATTAATTATAGTAAATAAATTTACTAATTTGATAAAAAGAATTTTTTTTTTACTATTTCTTTCACCAAAGGAGACCAACAAACTGTGATTCTATGGCCAACTTATTCAACTTGAAGACAAAAATTGTCAATGAAGGAAAAAAAAGAAAGGAGAATTTATTATTTCTTACTTTTATTGACGAAGAAGTGAAGATAGACAAGGACGAAAAGAAAACAATTTTTTTAACAATGCCGAGGGTCATTATCTTCTTTAATTACAATAAATTAATGCTTAAATTAATGCTTTCATTAATGAATTAATGCTTCCTCTACGAGGAAGCAAGTTTTTTTTGCTGATCGTAAAGAGGAAGCAAAATGTTCATGTAATGAACTTCTGGATTTACAACTTGTTTTTTATTATATATTATTATTAATTTTTTTTATGAATATTTTATGTTTTCTTTATTTTATAAATAATTGACAATTAATAATAAATATTGTTAAGCAAAGAAACTATATATAAAAAAAATTTATTTTTATTTTTTTAACTTCTGTATAAATAAATTGTTTATTAAAATATTATATATCAATGAAATTAAAAAAAATAATTTATAAAATAATTCACAATTGGAAGAATTAAAAAACTCATTGAATAAAAAAAATAATTAAAATAATTTGCTACAATTATTGTAATTGTATTTACTATTTTCAATTACTGGTATTTTTTCTAATAATTTGAATTACAAATATCTAATAATTAGAAATGGTTATTTATTAAATAAAAAAGATATATTTTTTGTTACTTACTCATTACACCAGAGATGATCGGAAATTAAAAGAAAATACTACTTTGAAAACCTGTTGCCGTTTGGAGAGTTCTTGAATATTCTGAGACGCTGTGGCAAACTCATCAAGGTAGAAGGGGGAAATTTTCCAAGAAGGAAAAAAGAAGGGGAAAGGGCTCAATTTCAATTTCGTTCTTTTATTGTCTTCAAAGAGAATATAGACAAGGACGGAAAGAAAACAACCTCTATTAACAATGGCCAAGGGTCGTTATCTTGTTTACATTAGAGGATTAACTTTTCACTGTAATTCCAAATAATTTAAAAGACGACTGAATATTGAAATTATTTATTTTCAAAATTTTTAGTAATTTTCTACTCAAATTTTATATTTAAAATAAAATTCGAAAATATCAAAAAAATAGTATGTCCTACATTAAAAAAAAAGAAAAAAATTATGCGTATTATTTTTTTTGTTTTCCTAAATCATTAAAATTTTCAATAAATTCTATTTATTCTTTGTCTAAAATTACAATTTTATTTTATTCATTGGTACTTATTATTAATTATTAATTTAAATTTTCTGTGAAACTAAACATTAATTTCTTTACGAGAAAGGGCACTGGAATATTTAAATATGCTAGACAAACTCACGCAGGTAGAAGGAAGAGACAACAACGAAGGAAGGAAAAGAAGGGGAAAAGGTTCAATTGCAATATTATACATTTATTGCAGTTGACGAAAAGATAGACAAGGACAGAAAGAAAACAATTTCACTTAACAATACCCAGGCTCGGTCAATAATTCTTTGTTTACAATAGAGGATTATTTTCCCCCTTATAAATTAATAATTAAAAAAAAGTCTACAAAATATTCTCGAAAATATTGAAGACAATAATTTCGAAAATTTTTAATAATTTTCAAGAAAAATTTAAATAAAAAAAACTGAAACTAATAAAGAAAAAATTATTAAATATTTGATAAATTTTCTAGTTTTGATTAATTTTAAATTTCACTATTATTTTCTCCTTTCAATTCTTTTTACTTCATCGTTTTCTATCTTAATATTTTTAATTATCAATTAATTAGCAAAATTTAAAAATTTATATAAATAATAATAATATTAATACTAATAAAAATAATATTCTTAATAATAAATTATCAATAAATATTCCTTTAATTTGCCTAATAACTTTATTCTTCTGTGAGTACAATGTATGATAATAATACATTAATAAATATGTAGGTACATTTACATAAATTCTGTGGTCAAATATATAATACAATTATAGAGCTTAATGCACAAGGCACTGGATGTCATTATCGCATAATTAATATCAACTATCAATTTATTATTAATATTAATTAACGTATTGCAAAAGAAGGTGCAAAGACTAGCAAAATAAAATTTCATATAAAATTTTTTAATCCCATTTTAATATTTAATAAATTTAATAAATTATTTATATTAACAATAGAATATAAAACAAAAATCTTGAAAGAAAAAATTCTTAATTGATTTTTTTTGCTTAAAATTTTGAATTAAAAATATTTTTGTAGAAATTATTTAAAAAAAATTTTTTTTTAAAATAAAATATTTTAAAGAATTAATATTTCAATTTTTTAAATTTCTTTAAAATATTTCTTAAAGTAATAAAAAAATTTCTTAATCGGCACCAAAATAATATTTATATAGATGAGAAGTGTATAATAGTAATTGTTCTTTTTTTTAAAGCTATGCTCTAGACTTTTGCGTGCTTTTTTTCATAATATACTAAAAAATAATTTTTATATTAATTTATCCCTATAACATTATGTACAAATCACTAAAATTAAAGTTTTGAAAAACTTAAAGCTGCCGATTCAATCGACAAAATTGCTCGTTTTTTTTTGTTTCTACAGATAATTACAATATTCTACAATTAAAAAAAAATAAGAAAAAAAATAAATGATAAACCGTAGAAAGAATTTGACTCAAGCTATTGTGCTCTTTCTGCACACCGTGCAGGAAGATGAATATTATCAACTTTCATTGTGGCAACTTTTTGTTACGATTTTATGATTCTACGAACCTTCCTGATGAAAATGCAGCTTTGACGAAAATCGTAACAGCTAATTCTTCAAAGATATTCGAATATTTATATAAATTGCAGCAGTTTCTTAAATCAATCTGTGTAAAGTTTTATGAATTGTGTTCGTTAGATAGTTCATATATTGTATGAACTAGCTACTCTTAGTTACTATAATCGTTTTCTATACCATACTATAATAATCAACTAAAATTCGCTGTTATTTCGTTTTTATCTTCAAATTTGTAAAATTTGGTGATTGTTTTCTAATTAAAATGAGGAAAACCTATTTTGCAAAAGACAAATAGAAAATATAATTGAAATACATTTTTAAATAATCTTAATAAAATAAATAAACATGACTGACTAATTTTTTAATTAATAAATAGTAAACGTGAATGACTAATACTAAAAAAATTACTAATAGCTAAATTTTTCGAAAATAAATAAACATGAATGACTTATTTTAATAAGATTGCTTAAAAATGTACTTTAATTATATTATTTTCTATTTGTCTTTTACAAAAGTTTTTCTTCATTTTAATTAAAAAACAATCACTAAATTTAACAAATTTAAAGATGATAATGAAATAACAGCGGATTTTAGTTGATTAATATACTATGATGTAAAAAACAATTTGCTCTTTTCCATCGTATTTGATTTTTTACCGCCAGGACAGTACACTTTTTCTTGATTTACTTCATGAGTTTTGCCAAAAGACTTAGACATTGTTGACAACTATTTTAAGAATAGCTAGTTAATACAATTAAACGAACACACACAGTAAAAAGAAAGTCTTATTTTTAATCATGAAAGGTACCTTAATTTTTGATGCAACATTTTTAAGACAGCCTTTGTTTAATTTCAAATCATATTTTTTTTACTGAATTTAAATAGCAAAGCATACTGATTATCATTAAAGAATGTGCTGAATTTAAGGCAATTATGTTCAAAATCAGCAGATGTATGCCTAATATAAAAAAGTAGAACTGTAAATTCAGATTGCCTATCTTTATTTTCACACAAATCGATGAGTTTAAATTAAGACTGTCATTACTTTCAAGACTTGATTAATTCCAGATAGATTTTTACAAAAGATTTACTTTTTACTGTACAAATCAAAAAACAGTACGATCGATATTCGAGATATTTGTTAGTTTACAAGACATTCCAAGAAAAAACGTACATATGCTGCCGTACAAAATAAAAAAGTCTATAACTGACATTTGCTTTTAGGTTGTTTTTCACGTAGACAAACAAGCTAACAACAACCTAAAAACAAATTACAGTTATAGACTTTTTTATTTTGTACGGCAGTATACAAATATGTGAGATTTTATTTTCAACGCTTACTTATATTTCGCAATTTATAAAAATATTCTAATATCTTTGAAGAATTAGCTGTTACAATTTTCGTCAAAGCAGCATTTTTATCAGAAAGCTTTGTAGAATAATAAAATCGTAACAAAAAGTTGCCACAATGAAAGTTGATAATATTCATCTTCCTGCACGGTGTGTCTGGCAAAATATCTTTCAATTCTAAATAATTATTTCTAAACTAAAAATGCAATGTCATTTTTAAACAGTCAGTATTTTTTGTGACATTTATAGAAATACAATTTCTACTAAAATATTATTAAAATTTCTCACTTTTTATTAATTTAGAGACAATTTAAATTTTTTAATTATTATTTGCTGCTGTTTTAATTAATTACAATATTTTGAAAAATTAATTTTTTGTTCTCTTTACCCTTTTTGAATATTACAATTTTAATATAATTAACATAATTTTAAAAACTATTGGAAAATTTTAACTTTTTGCAAAAACAAAAGTTCTTACAAATTTTTTGAATGTAGCTTTTGAATATTTTTTTATTTTTTTCAATATTAATTTTTCTCTTGTGTAATTAATTAATAAAATGATTTTTTAAGAAAGTGAGTAATTTTAATATGTACTTTTTACGTATCTAAGAAAATAATATAATCTAATTATAAATCGTGAATATTCACGATGTTATAGAGTTAGGGAATATTCAAGTTTTTCTATTTTCATTTTTTTAATAAATACAAAATTTACAACACATATTTGTAAGATAAAATAGGTTTTAATTTAATATAATAATTAATAATTAGTACTCTTTCGAAATAATTTATTTATATTAAAAAATTAAACTGTCTCTTTTTATCTTTTTTTCAAGTTTTTTGAGATTTGTCATTTCAATAGATAAATTAAATTCTTTAAATTTAATTTATTCTTATTAATTCTTTTCATATTCTTTTATTTATTGTATAATTCTTTTTATTTTATTTTTATTCATTTTAAAATTAATTTCATTATATATTGTTTAAAAATGATTTAAATTAAAATAATCACTTGAATTCTCCCTTATTATATAACACATCACATATGACTGATTATACATCCTGTTTGACAGGTTTTTACCCGTGCAATTAATAGAAATTCTTTACAAAAAAAGTCTTTGTCAAATTAGGAATTACATAAAATGGACGGCAGAAAATATTTTTTCTATTGTGAAATTTAAATCTTTCTTTTTTTCCTCTCGCTGCACTGTACATATTGAAAATATATATAATTATAAAAATCCAAAATTTCTTTTTTCTAGACGTATAAAAAAATTCTGATTTTTTATCTACTTGTACTTGCAGCTCGAAATAGAAAATATCGTTTTGTTTTTTCATAATAAACAGTGAGTATTTTTTTCCAACTTTTTTCTCATTAAATAACAATATTTTCAATTAATTATATTTATAAATAAGAAGCCAAAAAAGATAAATTTCTAAACTGGCTTTGCGTTACTTATTCGTTATTTATTTATCACAGGTGATTGTAAAAGAGATATTTTACAATTAAAGAGAAAAAAAATCTAGTACAAGAGAAATAATATTCTATATGTATTTACAAATTGGAATCTTAGTTTCCAATATTTTGTTGAATAAGTATCTGAGATTACCGCTCTTTTAACGAGTCAATCAGTACAAGCAAATATCGAAATCAGAAAAATTTTATAATAAACATTTTTTTTTTTCTTTTTTTGAAGGGTGTGAGAAAAAAATCCTATTTTCTTTCAAGATCTCCCTTGGCCTAAATATATTGCACGAAATACTTAAAAATTAACTCGTTAAATAATTTAATAATCTTCTCTTTTTTTCTTTTTGTTTTGTTAATTCTAGTGAGTGATGATAATTCTAAAAAAAACTTGCTTTCAAAACTCTCACAGGCATACATACAATAAAATTTTTGTACAGTATATTGAGTACTGTACATTTTCTTTTATATATAAATACTCTTCTATCTTTCTATATCTCACAAAAAAGTCTGTACATAACGTCAATAATATGACGTGACAATTTTTCAAATTATTTTACTTTTCTCGAACATCGATTCGCTTTTTAAAAAGAAAATTTCAAAAGTTTCCTTTTAAAGTCATTTGAGTTTTTTTCCCTCTTATTTTAAATACTTTGTTCAATGTTTAATCGATGTGAAATTCTGCACCGTAAATAAGTCTACTTGTACGATTAAATTTACTTTTTTATATAAGAGAAAAGCACCGGTTAACTGATGCTTTTATCCACTTTCTTACCCCACCCCCCGGTTTTTGTTTTAAAGCACTTCTTAGTTCTTACATGATAAATTCTGTACAAAAACTTAAATACGAGGTTCGTGTTTAATTTCAGATCAATATTTGTCAATGTGCTTTTATTTTGCTGCACTTAAGAGAATGAAGTATCCGAATTTTGAAGGCACTGAGGCACAATTCAAATTCTGATAATTTCAGAGGATCCATTGAATAATTTACTTGAGTACAAAAAAGAAACTCGATTCACTCGTCGCAATCTCGATAAAAATGCAAGGTAAACTCCAGATAATCACTTCCGTGCCTGTTCTTGCAAATATTCTAAAAATATAAATTTCTATTTAATTCCTATTCATATTTTATTAATGTTTCTAAATATTTACTGTTTTTTTCCTATTTATTTAGTAGTATTAATATTTTTTTCGTGAATTGTTTTATTTGATAGTTTAGTGGCCCAAGAGTTTAATGAAATGTTACTTACATCTTGAGGTTGAACGGTGGGCACTCGGAACCTGAGAGTCTTTCTTAAATAATGAGCAACATCTAGAGAAAATGCTTGATCACCCGGTTGATTAGTACTTTCAGTATATTGCGTTTGATGTTGCATCGAATAACTCCATCCGCAGACCATCGCTTCATCAACGGCCGCATTCGACGGTATTGGACATTGTTGAACAATTTGCCAATACCATGGCATTCCTCTATATAAACAATTTTCATTATTTTATTTTTAGAATTAAGAATAAATTTTAAGTATATAAATAATTTTTGTACTTATATTTTTATTCACTAATTATTTACGATTCAATTTATACGTAAAATAATAGAATATAAATTTACGTTATTCAGTAATGATAAGAGAGAAAAAAAATGATATTTCACAACTTACACAAAATGTAACGTGAGATGAGTGTCTGGCATGTGTTTCGAGAGTGGAACAATGCAACTGATATTGTTTGCAGTATTCGTAGATGCCGATGAACAATATCGTTGATCAAGAGAGGCGTTGAAACTTTTTGCAACAATAAACAATTGTGGTTTTGGTTCTGGGGGCAAGGAACCGGCCGCATTACTCGCGACTTCTCCCCAATCTCCTCCACTTCCAGCTTCCCTTCTCGATCTCTTGTGAAGATATTTATAATTGTTCTGTGAAATCCCATCGAATCACACGTAATTAATTTATATACAAAAAAAATCAATTTCAAAAATGTTCTATAATAATCTTTTAACACTTTATAATAATCTCTATAGATTTATTTTATCTTTATAGATTATTATATTTTATATGTAATTTTATTACTTATAATAATCTCAATATTTAAAAATTAATAAGTCGCAAATAAATTATATATTTCCATAGTAAAAAAAATATACGTTAAATAAAATAAATATTTTAGAAATAAATTAAAGAAAGAAATCTAAATATCTAAAAGAGAAAATAAAGATAAATTTTAAAAACTTAACATTAAATTGAAATTTAAAACGAATGAAATGAAATGATATGAAATTGTTATATATAATTTTTAAAAAGTATGAATCTACCTCTTTCACGAGAGTCTGCGTGCTGGGATCAGATGGACTTATTCCATTTTGTAAGCCTTTACTGAGCTTTCTCTTCTCCTCATGAATACTAACTGGTTGCTCCAAATGATCAGCTGCAAAATACATTATTTTATCAGCACTATAATTTTTCTAATGGAAAAATAATTAATTGCACAGTGAGTATTTTTTTTATGAACTTACAAATAGTTTTCTTTTCAGGTGGATGATCAGGACGCGCTTCTTCAAGCTGATGAATTTCTGCCGTGCAGCAGTAAATCTGAAAAGAAATTTTTTTTTCCATTTTAATAAGACAATCAAAATTTATTTTTAATACTTTCAAATCATTTAATCGTAAACCAAATTAATTAAATGTTGGCTGAATTAAATAAATTGCAAAACAAATTTAATTGTTATCAAAATTAAATTAGTTGTGAAACAAATGTTAATTCATTGTGAAACAAATGTAAACTAACTTAATGAATTGTGAACAAAATTTATTTTAATCTGAATCAATTGTAAACCAAATTAATTCATTGGATATTATTTGATTTCGTAAACAATTATTTAATTACAATTAATTTAGTTTCTTTTTCGATATTTCAGAACAAAATTAAATTATTTAATGTAAAATTAATGAACTAATTATACAATTACTAATTTAAAATATTGACGAAAATTTTAGAGTCTCACCTGACAAGGACTTTCGAGTTCAGTAAAATGAACAGGACAATCAGCGGGTCTTCCTAAAGGAACTGGCCCCTTATTCGTCGGAGGAGCATCAATATCTGAACTTTGATCGTTTTCGTCAACATGACTAGGAACAGCACCAGCGACGTTCTTGCCAAGCCAGTTATTTGGAAATTCACTGCATTACAGAAAATAAATTTACAATAAAAATCAAGAAAGAATAAAACAATTATAATAAGCAAATAAGAATTATAATATTATTACAATAAATTAAACAATTAAATTGAAAGAAATATTAAAAACTTTTTCTTATTTAACTTTAATTTAAAAAGGAACTTTTAGTAAATTACCTATTTTTGTCGTGCTTATTTTGCGAGCCTGGATACCAAGTAATTTCTTGTGAATATAATTGTTGTTTCGTATTTGGTGATTGGGTGGAGAGGGCATTTTTCAATAATGTATGACCATCGATTCCTCTCGTAAATGTACCGTGTCTCGTATAAGGTGAGGGTGTACTGTACAAAAGTGGATTGAAACGTGACTCATAATCCGGCGTCGATTGCGAAGTTGGAATATGAACTGGTGCTATAGCCAAAATTCCACCGCCCGCCACCGCCGACCATTCTAAACTACTGCGCTTTTGAAATTCCAAGAAATACAAAGTCGCCATCGCCACGAGACTAGAAATAATCAAATTAATAAAATATTTATTTAACTACTTTATTTATATTTCTAAATGGTTAATTTTCAATACAAATTTAAATTTAATTACATTTCTATTCTATTTTAAAATTTAAAAATTTTAATTTAATTTAAATTGAAATTTTAGCATGATTTTAATTAAAATGCATTTTTAATTTTAATATGATTTTAATTTAATAAAAATAAAAAAAACTTACCAAAATGCCATGATGAGAATAAGAATAACGATAATAATCTGTATGAATTTATTACTGCAAAGTAGTTCATCATCCTTTTCGAATCGTTTCGATTTTCCCTGCATCGTTGATTTTGCATTTATTGACGATGAATATTTACTACTCGCTATACTAGATACTGTACTAATTGAACTCTTGAGACTATCGCCTCTCTTTAATTTCGCTAATCGTTTATTAATTCTCTCCAATTGATCGATTCTTGTTTCTAAACTATCAGTGACTTTACAAAGTTCCTTCACTGCACCAACATTCTCCATAAATATCCTCTCCTTATTAACCACCAAAAAATTTTCTATCCTCTGTCCATTGGGAAGTACAATATCGCCAGCTGGCAAAACGGCTTCAGGCAAAATTTGCTGTACCTCCTGTGCAATAACGCCCGTGTCCTCCTGCGATTTGACACCAAGTCCCGAATGAAGAGCAAATTCTGGCGCGTAACGATAACGCACCACTCGCAATTGTTGAACATTTCTCAATTGCTCGCGTGTATCGACCTCCTGTACATTTTGCTTTGCTCTCACGTCACTCGGCTGGACAATATGTCCCGTCACCTAAAAAAAAGAATTTGTGAATTATATTCTTCAACAATTTGTGAACTATTAGAAAAAATGATAGGATAAAATATTAAATAATATCAGGGTTGCCACAAAAAATTAATTTTGTTTTTCTCTGATTTCCAGACAAAATTTTGACTTTTTCCCTGATCCTAAAAAATATTCTGATTCACTCTAAAAATTATTAGATACTCGAAAAAACATTCTATTACATTTACTTACGAATTTCTTTAATTGTAAAATTATTCGCAAACATCAATAACTTTGTGAAAAATTCTGGAAAAATTCAAATCAATAACTTCATTTTTAAATAAGTATTTAATTATTTTTTTTCATAGGAATTCTTCAAAACATTCAAATTCAAACATTTTTAAAATTCAACAACTTATACAAATATTATTATAAAACATGAAGATATGAATCACTTCGAGTCTTTGACTCGGAGTAATTCATGTCTTCCTGTTTTATAAAAATTAAGATTTCCATAAAATTGTTAAAAAAAAAAAAAATTATTTACAAAAATTATAAGAAAATTCGTGGCAAGAATTCAATGATTTTCATAAATAATAAAATTCTTCACAGGGTTTCAATTATTTTTAATACAATTTTAAATAAATTTCTCGAAAAATGAAATTATTTTCAAAAATATTTTTCAAGAATGAAATTACATTTCACAAATAATAAAATTCTTCGCTGAAATTCAAAAATTTCTAAAATTTACTATTTTAATAAAAGTTTTCAAAAGAATTTAGTTATTTAAATAAAATGTAAAAAAATTCGTTGCACAAATTCAAGTATTTTTACAAGTAATAACATTTTTTACATGAATTCAATTATTTAAAAAAAAATTTGATAAAATTCGTTATAAGAATTCCATTATTTTTATAAATTAATAAAATTCTCCACAGAATTTCAATTATTTTTAATACAATTTTAAGTAAATTCTTCGAAAAATGTAATTATTTTCAAAAAGTTTATTAAAATTCTTCGAAAGAATTAAATTATCAATTATTTTTAAAAATTCAATCTATAATGCTTTTAATATATTCATTAATATTAATTTTTAAATCAATTTTTATTGGAAAATTCTACGAGAATTCAATTATTTAAATACAAAAAGAAATAATTTACTGAATAAATGAATGCTTTTCTAAATTGAATTATCATAAAGAATTTTATCAACATAATTGAATTTTTTCGAGAAATTCGATTAAAATTGTATTAAAAATATTTGAAATTCTATGATGAGTTTTATTATTCATGAAAATAATTGAATTTTTTTTAAAAAAAAAGTTATTATTTATGAAAATAACTGAATTATTGCAAAGAAATTTATAAAAAATTTGTAAATATTTAAATTCCTGTGAAATTTTTATTATTTATGAAAATAATTTAATGTTTGCTTAGAATTTTATCAAAAATTTTTTTTTAAATAATTGAATTCGTTTGAAAAATTTTATTAAAATAGTAAATATTGAAAATCATTGAATTGAGAAAATTGGAAAATTTTTTGAAAATAATTGAAATTTTGCAAAGAATTTTATTAAAATTTTTGGAAATAATTGAAATTCGGAGAAGAATTTGATTATTTTTAAAGATAACTGAATTTTGATGAGAATTTTTTTAAATTTTTGAACATAATAGAATTTTTGAGAAGAATTTTATTACTTTTGAAAATAATTGAATTTCTGCAATAATTTTTAACTTCTCAAAAATTTAATTTTTTCCAGTACTTTAATAAAAATCCCTGACTTTTCCCTGAATTCCCTGATTTTCCTGATGTGGTAATCCTGAATATATAAATAAATCTTAAAAAATAGAAAAAAAGCACATGATCAAATTTTAAAAGAGTAGAAATACCTTCATATTTCCATGAACGACTAAAGCTTCGTCAGGTCGATCTGTATTAATTCCAACTCGACCTGCATGATAAACGCTGTCGGGAGCAGATCCTCGTTGCCAACCGCCCTCGACACCAACGCCGCTTCCTTCTGACTCAAATTGTCCCGGATTGCTCGCCTATAAAATAATTAACAATTTTCATCGATATGTAAATTTTTCCTAAAATTAAAATCAATAAAAGATCACAAATTAAATTTTTCAATTTCAATTAATAGTATTTAATAGTAATTAAAATTGAGTAATTAATAGATGAGTAATTAAAATAAATGATGAATCAAATAAAATTCCTTTTTTCCTTCCCAATTAACTTACCCTGACAATTATTCTTTCGGAGGCATGAGCGACGACCTGATAACTCGCCTGATCGGCCGTGTGCGCATGTAATCCAACGACTAAATGAAAATAACGTTGATCGGGATTTGGTTTTCCTTTTTTTCGCATATTATTACTGGTTGTCTCGCTAAAATGCAAACGTCCCACTGTCACCTTGGTGACGCGTTCGCCACCCAATTCCACCCTGAAACCAGCTCTATTTTAGCGTTAAGAATGAACTGACACATGTTGACGCGCAAATATAATGGAATTTTGCAAAATAAAATTAGCCAAAATTTTTTCTCTCTCATTTCTTTTTCTTTTCATTTGATAAATAAATTCAAAATAAATAGAAAATTCAAAATTCAAATAGAACTTCAAAAGTAAAAAGAAGAAAATTGGGAAACTAAAATCAAAATCAATTGAGAAATTCAAATTAATTAATTTATAAATTAATTCAAAATAATTACTTTAAAATTTAATTAAATTAATTAAGTACTTAAAATTAATTCAAATTAATTACTTCAAAATAAATCAAATTAATTCAAATTAAGAAATTTAAACAAAAAATGCTAAAATAAATTAGAAAAAGGGGAAAAAATAGTAAACGAATAAAAAAACAAAATTGAAAATTACAAATTGAGAAAATTCATGTAGTTTTCTTTTTTGTAAAATTTCATTTTACTCACACCACAGGATGAAATGGCTTTTTGCTCCTGTCGCTTTGACTCTGTTCGACTCGAATTGTCTGAGTTGGTGATTCGACTTTGACGCCATAAAAGTGAAGCTGAAAACTGCTAATTTTTTTGAGACCCTCACTGGTTCTGACAAATACGGCCTCTCCTTGAAGCTGCGCGTGGCAAGTAATCTTAATGAAATAAAATTTATGAATTAGTTTCTTGTCTTCAATAAAGTCACTGTATTCAAATCTATAATTGTATTTTTCAGAAATTAAATACTAAGCACTATTTAAAAAATAATTTCTAAACTTTTCTCAAATATTGTATTTAATAAAAATGCAGTTTTTAGACTTTATTCAAAAAAATGAAAATTATTTTAAAAAATAAAAAAATAATTTCAATTTTTAAAATTGATTCAAGAGTAACAAATTCCCGTTTGGGAAGAATTAAATTTAAATTAAGTTAAGATTAAAATTTACATAAAATTAAGTTTTAAGTGAAGATAACATTTTATTTAAAATTAATAATGTTAAGATTAAATTAAAATTAATATTAAGTTTTAATTTAAATTAATGGTATAACTTGCGTGTTTTATATTTGCCCAGATTGAGGGCAAAATACTATTTTTAATTCAAACTTTTGCAGATTGACTGATTTGGAAAAATAATTTTTTTTTGAATTAAATGGATTTCTTTTTGAATTTCAACTTTGCAGACCTAGAAATTAAAAAGAAGGGAAAGAATGAAAAAACTTACTTGGAAATGATTTTTCTTCTGACAAACGAAGGCATCGTCAGAATTGCTAAAGTTGAATCCCTTATCAGCGTCGACTCGATAATGCGGAACAGGGAGTTCTTTAAGATTGTGATCACAGAGAGCATGCCAAGAAGTTTGTTGAAAAGGATGAAAACGAATGCATTGATAACTCGCATCAATGTAATTACTATCGCCTGTAACTTCATCTCCCTCAAGCACTGTGCTGTTACTACTACAACTTCTTTCCACCGTTCCCAATTCCGGTTCCTGTTAAAAAGAAATTTAATTTTTATCATTAATGTTCAAAAAAGTACCTCGGTATTTTTTCTTTTAATTTGGTTTTTTTAGAGTTAATATTTATTAACATAAGTTGGTATTTTTTTAAGTTAATCCTTTTTAAATTAATATTTTTCTAAGTTGACATTTTTCAAGTTAATATTCTTTAAATTAATATTTTTTTGAGTTTACATTTTCCAAGTAGACATTTTTTGAACTCGATATTTATTTTCAGTTGACACTTATTTTTAGTTGATATTTCATTTTTTGATTTATTTGAAACCAGATAATTAATATTCCTTTTGAAACCAGTTTCTGATAATCTAATTCAACACAAATTGTAAAACAAAAAAAAAAATACTTTAATTTATAAAATTAATTTCTTCAATTAGTATTAATTATGTATTTAGTAATTTTAAAAGTAATTACTCATAATTATTTACTTTAAATGTCGATAAATATTAGTAATATAATTAATAATAAAAATAATGTAATATTAATAGTATTTCAGTTCTGCTGATTATAAATTTTATATAATTATTTATATTCCTAAATTTCTGAATGTTCAAATGAACGAAATTTATTTATTTCTTTTTCGAATTGAATTTTTGTTACAATAATTTTGTGTCAGTTTATCAAAAATATTAATTACAATACTTCTAATTCAAATTCTAAATCTAAAATTCAAGTTTTTAATTTGTATTATTAATGCAATTAGCAATTTATGAAAATCAGTTTACGAACGAAAAAAAATATAAAAATACTTTTAAAAAAGTTGTATCATTCATTTTTTCGTCTCAAAATGATATATTTACTGATTTCAAATTATGGATTGGAACGAAACAAAAATTTGTATTTCTAGTATATAATTAATAAATGAAGTATTTTTTAACTTGCAGAACCGAAACATAATATTCAAGCAAATCCTAATTTTTATCTTAATAAATATATAAATGAACAATTAAAAAATATTCACTAAACAAAATTAAATTTAAAAACAATTTTCCGAATTTAAAATTTTCGAATTAAAAAATGTTCTTGTAATTAAGACGAAAATTTTCATTTTTGTCTGTGTTTGTGTTTCTTCAAGAAAAAAATGTTATAATTAACAAAAAATGAAAATTCAAGAGAAAAACAAAAATTCTTTTTGAAGCAATAAAATTTCCAGTTGAAATAAAAAAAAAATACAACATAAAAAAGTTTCGATAAAAAAATAAATGCGATTTAAAATGTTAGTATGATAAAAAATCGGACTTGAACGTCTTGTAAAATTATTAGATTAAGATTCGAGACACAGATAGAAAAGACAGGTTCATTAAAATATTTCGATTGAGCGGTATTACTTGTTTGACGTGTACGAGACCATCCTGACTGAGTTTTCTTTTTTTGGGTGCCGACTGAAGTGATGAATACAAAGTGGTGATACCAGTATTATTGGGACTGTGTTCGTGAGGTAATGGTACCAATGGTGTTCCCAATTGCTGCTGTTGTTGTTGTTGCTGTTGATTTGGAAGAGTCAAACTATTTGGCGTCAAAAGAGGCGTCAATACTGGATGGGTGAGCAGAAGCGGATCTGAAACTGGTGCCAGTGTTCTTGGTGACGATGGCAACAAACCAGACGTGTAATTCGATGTGTTCCCTTGATGATGAAGGAGGATTTCTTGTAAAGCTGCTTTTTGATCTGAAAAAGCAAATGCAAAATTAAAATCATTGAAATTAAAATAATAAAAATAAAAATTATTGAAATTAAGAATTCTTAAACATAAAATTATAAAAAATAAAACTGTAAAAATTAAAATTATAAAAATATTGAAACTACAATTACCAGGAATAAAAAAACCAAAATCAGGAAAATTTGAAAAAATTCGAAATAGAAAATATTAAAAAAATTGTTGAATAGAGTAAAAAAAAAATATTTAAAAAATTGATCCAGAGGAGTAAAAAAAATTGTAAAAAATGCGAAACAGGTGAAAATAAATGTTGCCATTGGAGAACAATGTGAATGATCAGGATTTTGATGCATCTCTTTTCTTGAAAGGGATTTAGGTGAATCTCCGGATGCTAGAAATGTTTGCGTAATACACACCTACGTTAGGAGAGACGAGTCAGTTCTCAAACTATAATATAAGTTGTAACAGGTGAATGAACTTACGCGGTGAATGTACATGTTGAGAGTCGTGATGTCCGGGTGGAGAGTAAGGAGGCTCACTACCACTGTCTGGCGGACTTTCTGGTAATGAATGACTGTAAAGAGATCATTTTTAAATTAAAAAAGAGAAAAAAAAATAATATGGTAACTCAAGTGCCTACAATAAAAATCTAAAGTGCTGTTATATCATGACACACTTTGGGGGCCTCTTCAACAAGATCTTCAAAAAAATCGAAACATATAATTCTTCTCTTTTTTTTCATTTTTGGTAAATTAATTTCTCAAATTAAGTTATATTGGGTTTAATTTGTATCTTTCAAAAGAAATCATTCTGGAATTTTTTTACTCATTTTTCCTCATCTCATTTTTTATTCACTGCACATCTAATTTTTTTTAATAATACAAGTTATTATAAATATTTATTTATTTATTTAGACAATATACGGACTTACAAAAAATGAAAAATGTCCATCGTAGAAAAAGAGAAATGATTATTTAATATTAATTTAAAAAAATTATTTTAATATTTTATTTGATTATAAAAATTAATTCTATTACAAATTTGAATTTAAATTCATAATTTTTAATTTAATTTGTATATTTATTCGTTTTAATAAAACAATTAAGATAAACTATTTTTATTAAACAATTTTCATTATTATAATTAATTATTATAATAGTTCTCTCCTATTTTTGAACTTCTTTGCTTATATTTAATTGAATTCCTGAATGTAAAGAATATTATATCCGGTAAATATATTTTGCATTAAACTAAATAAAAAAAATATTAATAAGTAAACAATATTGAAATTAAATTTAAAATTTAGAAAAAAATATTTTAATTTTGAATTTCTATTGTTTGCATCATTGCATTTATTATGGAGGCAAACAATTATATCTGGTAAATTTATTTCGTATTTATTAAATAAATTAACTAATCAAATATGTTAATACGTACAAATTGCAAAATATCGTGGACAAAAGGAAATAAAAATAGTAAATAAAAATAACAAATGAAAAAAAATTAAAAAAGTAAAAGAATACAAAAAAATATAAATAAGCATAAATTGAAAACAATCAAAGAAAAATAGCAAATGAAAATAATAAATAAAATAGAAAATTAAACAGAAAATAGAAAAAATTGAAAAAAATAGAGAAAAATAGAAAAAAGTAGAAAATTAAATATAAGAAAAAAATTTAATTCTGAAGGTTGAAGATTAGAATAGAGGAAAGGAGAAAAAAATAGTGAAAGGAAGAGAAAAAAAGAGAAAAATACAGGAAAACAACTTACGGATGAACGTATGTTTGAGGATCCTTATAAATAGTACCGGAAGGCACAGGAGTGGTACCGGAAGTGCATGTTGTTGGGACCGAATGATTTTGCGTTATCGGTGTGGGCAACCTTGCTGGTGGTTGTTGGTTGTTTGATGTTTCCACGCGATTTCCATGATTGTTTGGTCCACCGTCCTCATTGTGTGCAAGGGTGTCAGCAAAATATCTACAAAAAGAATAACGAATATAATTAAATTTGAATTACAATTATTTATCAATTATGTTTCTATTTGTACTACTATTTTTTTCGACTATTATTTTTCTTATAATTACTAGAATATATTATTACTGTAATTGTTTATTATAAATTATAGTTTATAATAAATAAAATGAATTATATTAAAAATCAAAAAGCTTCAATTAAAATTAAGAAAAAAAAATCGATTAAAATTAAAATGAAATTTTTTTTTAAATTCAAATATAGAAGATTTTGTGCAATTAGTAATCGCTTGGGATTTATAAAACACAGATATCGCTATCGCTCAATTTTACTACGTTTTGTGCGTACGCATTAGTTTGGACAACGTAACATTTATAACTGACGTAATTGAGTTTTTTAAAAATGAAAAAAAAAATTGTCTGATAGAAAATACATGGATTTTCATTCTCCCAAGCGCCTGCAAAAGTGACGAATGTATTTCACATCAGAAAGCGCCATATCCTGTTTTTTCCCCGGTATAATAACATAATAATAAGACTTATTTGCATTTTAAATACAAATCACATAAGGGCAATCAATTTTCATCCTGTCGAGTTTCTCCTATCTCAAAATCAATAAGACTTCTAATTTTTTTTATCAAATAAAACTTTGGTAAAAAATTATTTTTAATTAATTAATTATTAGGTATTATACTATCAGTAAATATAAATTAATATTATTAAGTATTGTTAAAATTAATTAATTATTGGTAAAATTAATTAAAATTATTAATAAATATAGGAAATTAATTAACAGAATTAATTAATAATAAAAAATAATTAATAGTAAAATTGATATAATTAATTAATTTGAAAAAAATGTACAATAATAATTACAAATTACTTGATAATCGAAATAATTAATTAATAATTGAAACAAATAATTAATAATTGAAATTGTCAAAAAGTTGACAGTTAACAAAGAATTTTTTTATGTTAACAAAGAATGCCTACTGAAATTATTTTATTTTTCCTGTCAGTTATTTTTATTTTATGCATTATTTAAATAATAAAAAAATAATACCTTAAATAATGATAAATAAAATAATAATAATAAATAATAAATAAAAAATCCAATTACATTAAATTGTCCACTTATTAAATTTCATTTCCAGCTCTTTTATTTAGCAATTTTTTTCTTAAACTCGATTATTTATTTGAATTTTGATTGAAGAATATAATAATTACGGGAGTGTATTTTATGTGTTTATGTACATACACGAAGTGAGTGTGTATAGGAACCCTTAATCTGTCGAGTTACACGACAAATTACTAGACCTAATGCAGCGGGCAGTGATTCCTTCAATTGTATCCAGTCTGCAGTCGTGTCATTAAATATCATTACACCTCCTGAATATGTCTATATACACATATAAATACATTTATGTATATATACACATGTACTGTACTCAATTCATCACTCGTGGCTTGACTGTTGCATTGAGCTGCATTTATCTCGATCGTACTGCATCGCAAGTACATTTTTTATTCCACCCACAAACTCTTGTATTCAGATTCATTCAAAAAAAAAAAAAGAAAATTGTGAGGCAATAGTTATAAAAGTATAATTTTTTTCAATGCTAATACTCCTCTGTAAATTGTATCACCAAAAGACGTTTATTATTAACAAAGAAAAATAAATACAAAGAGAGATAAAATTGGAGAAATTAATTTCAATTTTCATGAATTAAAATTGCTTCAATTTAAAAAAATAAATAATAAATGAATAGGTAAAGAAAACAATAATAATAAATTAATTAATGAAATTATAAAAATAAAGTTAATTAATTAAAATTTATTAATATTTCAACCCACAAATCTTTAGCAAAATTCCCTTTTGTTTTTGATTTTGTATTTCTAATTTTCGTTACTACAAAATTTAGCAAGTACAGTCGAACCTGTCGGAATGCAACTCTATGTAAAAAAATTTTCTGTATTCAAAAATGTCCAACAAGAATTATTTTCACTTAGTTCAAAAATATAAAAATTCGACAAAATTCAATTTTAAAACAACTTTTTAAGGATTTTTTGCTGTAATAAAATTTAAAAAATGAAGTTGCATTCCGACAGGTTTTACTGTATCAGAAAATGACAAAAAAATAAAAATTAAATTATTAATCAGGCGAATTAAAAATGAATCTAGAATTCTTTTTGTTTCTCAATATTTTTAGAGGGGAAATAAATAAATCTTTTTTTACTAAAATAATAATAGTTACTAACTATTGCTAAAATAATATTAAAAGCATAACTAAAGTAATTAATTAATTAATTAACTAACTAATAGTCAAAATTTGACTATATGATTGAATTATTTAATATAAATTAAATAATTTCACATAATCTAAGAAGGGAATTTAACTAATTTATTTTCTTATTAAATTTTAGAGAAGTAATTTTATTTCTTATTATTATATAAACCCGTGTACTTTATTAAATAATAATAAATTATTGCCAGTTAGTACTAAAGAAATAAATAGATAATAATAATAATAACAAATAATAAATAAAATAATAGTAGGATAACAATAATGTATCAATTGTACGTCTGTTTGTAAGAATAATTAAAAAATTAATAAATAAATAAAAGAAAAGTAATAATAAATAATTAATTTATAAACATTAAGATGAACAATAATAAACAAGTACAAACAAAAAATAAATAAAAAATTGATAATAGTAATAATAAAAAAAAATAATAGAAAAATAAGTGAAGTGAAATTTTCATGTCCATTATAATTGTAGGTAAAAATGACCTGATGGGATCATTCAATTTTATAAAATATTTAGCGAATCTATATACACAAAGAAGGGTTCGCAGGAAACGCGTGCTTGTTCAAAGCAGTGGCAAGCGCATTATTTGAATTCGTTAATTAGCATAATTGCATGGACAGGAACTTGTGGGGAGAGAAAAGACAAAAGAGACAGTCATTGGTCAGTGTGACAACTCAAATTCGCACACATCACTTATTTTCAGGGTATATTGTTAGAACATTTTTGTTACACATATACACAAACACCTCTATACTATATACAAATGTATTTCATGCCTCTTTTCTCTCTTTTCACTCTCTACATGTGCCTATGCATGCGCGAATTTTATAAAGTGAATTTCCCTATATAATACTAATATTATATTCAAAAATAATAATACAGTAATTATTGAATTAATTATAGCTTTATAAACTTACGTTGCGGGTTGCTCACTATCGCTATTGATGAAATCTTCCAATTGTGAGAAATCCAGCGCCTCATTGTCTATTCCTCCAACAAAATCGCCTCGTCCTGAAAGTGATAAATGAGAAGAAAAAAAATTAAAAACTTTAAATAAAAATATAATTTTTTTTTTGATATTTCTAAATATTGAGTTAATGAAAGACGGTATAATTAATTATAGACTTTATATATAAGTATATCTCTTGGTTGAGTAATCGGAGCGCCTACTTATTCCAGATGAATAAATTCGTTTTCTAATTAATCCACATTTCAATCGAATTATTATACTTAATAGACTTTTTGAATTAGATAAAAACAAAATTATTTTCTTTCTAAATTTACAATATTCCGTTAATAAGTCTCAATTTTCAACCAAATTAATTTATATTTAATTATTTTTTCATAGAATAGAATTTTATTTCTTGATGGTACAGTTATTTTGTACATATAGCTAATTATGAGGAAAATAAAAGTAGAAGTGTCGTAGCTTTGAGGTTGCATTGGGCTTTAAAGAGCGTGGGTCGAAGGTTCGATTCCCCTCATATTATTTTTTCAAGCATATAAAATAAAATCATAAAATTTACCTAATTACCTAACAAGTGAATAATAAATAAAATTTAAAAATATCAAAAGGTAAACAAATAAAAGTAAAAATAAATAAAGGTAAAATAAAAAGGTAAACAATAAAACATATTTAAAATAATTATTATAAATAGATGATTTATAAAATTAAAGATAAACACTAAAATTTTAATTACATTTCTATTCCACGGAGCTCATTAAAAAAATAATAATAAAGAACCCACCCATTTTATAATTTGCGGTAATATTGAGGGAAAAAAACTCATAAAATAAGGAAAAAAAAAATTCAACTGTTTATAAAGTTGCTAAACAAAAGAAATGCGAATGCTATATACATACGTATAAATCTTTGTTACCGCACAAAATTTTCTTACACTATATACGAATATGATAAGTAGATGCGGTTAGTTTTAGTCAGACTGAGAAATATACCGCTCCCATAAAACAAGTGTATTATAAAGGAGAAAAATTTCCTTCACAATTATTTCCTCATTCCCAACAAATTTATATATACATATTAAAATTTTTATATTAATTAAAATTCCACTTTATATTATATAATACTCCACTTTTGTCAATATTCAAAAAGTCAAAACACGTCCAAATTATATTATAATAAAAAAAATTATTTCATACTCGTTATGACAAAATTACTGAAAAATTTCGAATTAATTAAATTTGTAAGTAAATTTTACTTTACTGATTTGTTTATTTAAATTTATATAATATTTATTGTTTCTTTCTACTACATATTTTTACTAGGTAGGTATTTATAATTATTGTTTACTATCTTACTAGTCAGTAATTTTTTCTTATTCTTTATTATAATTATAATATAATTATAATAAAATTATAATAATAACTTTTTATTTAATTATTATAATTTAATTACATTAATGTTATTTAATGAAAAAATACTTATTTATTGTATTATATTATAATATATCAGTTATATGAATGTAAAATTATAATTTTTTCCTATATTTTTTTTTCTTTTAATTATTGGTATTTTAATTACTTTTTAAATTATTTTTAAAATTATTTTCACTAATCATCTGACTTTTGTAAGTCGGAAATAGTTAAAAAAAAATTAATAATTGTTCGTAAAATTTTAGCTGACTTTTTGTTTCAACACTTGTAAAGGATTAATTTCTTTACAAGTGCTGAAACAAAAATAAAAAAGCCAATTATTAGAAAAAAATGAAGATATAAAAATAAATAAAGACAATTATTAGTATAAAAGGTAAATTAAAATAAATAAATAAATAAACAAATAAATAATAGATATAAATAACTAATAGAAATAAAAAAATAAATAAATGAAATAAATAAAATAATTAAATAAATTGTAAAATATAATTATTTAATAGTAAAAAAATAGTTTTAGTACAAAAATAAATATATTTTAGTACGATAAAAAATAAAATTTATTTAAAATAAGTGCGAAAAACTAAATAAATTGTAATGTTTTTAATTAATTAATTTTAATGAATTAAAAAAATTTTTAATTTTAAGAAAAAATTTTAATTTTTAAAATTTGCGAATGGAAGGCAGTTAAGAGTTATCACTTCTAAAAAGGTCTGAATGTATTTTATTTTGTTTTTTGCGTATATAAAAATAAAAAGTGTTACTTTTGCGGTTCATAAGGATAATTAGAAAGGAGAGAAGATAAATTGACAACAATTATGGATTTTAAAGTGATTATACGGCGATCGTCAAGTATAATAAGCATTAGCGAGTAGCAAAGATTAATATGTATACCTATGTATATATATATAATCTGTGAATGTCAGCTTCGAGAACTTTGTGTAAAGGTCTCAAGAGCGAATAGTCATGAACGTCATGAAAGAATGCCTTTTACATGGCCTCTTCTTCTCACGTATATAATATTGCTTTACAGTCTTTTGTATACACACACACAAATAAACTGTGCGCATAACGGTCATACCAGTGTAAATAGAGTTCTATACATATATACATTGACAAACGAAAGTACATATTTAATTATTTGTCAAAAGACTTTGCCTTTCAATAATATTGTAAAGCAAAAAAAAAAAAAAGATTTTTTTTCAAAGCACTTAAAAACACTGTTTTGCAAAAACAAGTTTTCAAAATTAAACTTTGGAAAAATATTAGAAGTGTATCTATTATTACTATTATTAATATACAAATAATGATTTGAATTTCGCGCTATTATAACTCTTCAAGTTCCCGTCCAGATGGCATGAAAACTCTCTCACAATCGAGATGAAGTAGACATAGTTTAACTATTGTTGATCCCTTGAGTAATTATAATGTTTAATTTTATTTATAATGGTGAATAATTTAATTAATTTATTTAAATAATTAAATATTAATTCATAAATATTTACCAAATGTATTTAAAAAGTTTCCATGAATGTTTTTCACAGTTTTTAACATCATATGTTTTTATTTTAATTCAATGTACAACCATTATTATTAAATAAAATATATTATTAAATTAACAATATAATAATTGAGATTAACCCCATATTATTAAAAGTAAACATTACAATCACTCCAAGGATCATTGACACTTATATTCTACCCGCTCCATCTCGATTGCGAGAGAACTTTCCTGCCATCTGAACGGAATTTCAAAGAGTTATTCTGGCGCGAAATTCAAATTTCGAAAACGAGAAAACAAACTTAAGCTAACAAAAAAAAGAAAAAAAATTATACAATTTTAAATGCGAAATTATAAACTCTAAACTGTAACAAACATCAGAAAATTAATGTTCATAATTAAACAGAAACAAAAAATCACATTTGCAAAAATAATTTCTAATGCATTTTTCTTAACAATTCGCATCTAATGGGAAATGCATTCTAGTAGCTATAAATAGTCTGCGATTATTGAAAGAAGGAGGAAGGGGGGACTTTCTCCTGACCTCGAAAGTGGACAATAAACAAAATAGGACTTCTTATCGAAGTGTATATATGTATATAGTATATGTAATTTTTCCACGTCTTTATAAACTCTCCCTTAATAAATTGTCACACAAATATAATCTCCTATCATCATCATAATCATCATTATTGGAAAAACTGTGTTAAGAATCTTATTGGTACATTGATTTTTCATTATAGCCGTACAATTACATCGTGTGTGTCTATGTCTTTACATTAAAGTTGGCATTTGTAGAGGAGAAAGTGCAGAGATCTATTCTATATATCGTCATGGGGAAATTTTACGGGTGATCGAACTTCCAAGTTGAAGAAATTATGGTGAATTTTGTTGAAGAGCGTATAATTACTCGGTCAACTATCAATGTTTATAAGTGCTTTTACATGTGAGCGTTTGTTTGTATGTAAAAAATTTTTTAAATGTATATGTGCTTGTAAAAATATATGTGTATGTAAATGTACATGTGCATGCATGTGTGTATGTAAATGTACATGTCCATGCATATGTGTATGTAAATGTATATGTGAATGTAATTGTGAATGTAAATGCACATGTGTATGCACATGTGTATGTAAATGCTTATGTGTAGGTATATGTGTATGGAAATCTATATGTAAATGTGAAAGTATATGTGAACTTGCACATATATGTAAATTTACATGTAAATTAACATGAATATAAAAATTTACATGTACACAATATGTGTAGTCCATGAATTACTAATATTGCAAAAGCAATGTCAATTTCAGTCTCCAATCAAGTAGCAAATAATCTAACGTTCATTAAGTTCAAAAGAAATTTTCAACAAATATTTGCCTCTATAATATTCGGTGTATAATTAATTTACTTTACTACCACTAAATATATTATTTATCGCCTTATTCATTAGGTACATTTTATTCACTTTTACCACAATTTTGTTGGGTATAGTGCTTCAAATTTTAATAACATAAAAAATATTCACGTACTTTTCTATTTTTAAATATTATTATTATTATCTTTTTCATTTATTTTCAAGTAGAAATTGATCGATTTAACCTAAATTTGATCTAAAATAATTGTCCCAGCCTGTTCTGGTTCCAATCCGACCAAAATCAAAATTGGAAATTGAAAAAAAAACCATAAAAAGTGTCATTTCTACTTTAATTTCTTAGAAAGAAAAAGAATAATAATAATTAAAGAAAGAATATTTATACACACGCGAAATTCAAACAATTCTAAATTCAATGAGAATAGTAATTTATCGTACAATTCGTAAGTGTGTCACATGTATTGTGTGCTTGGTGCACTTAACTGTACACAAAGTGTTATCGCCTACCTTGATCACTCTTAAGCGTTTAAGCGTTTGAGTCAAGTGTCATAACTCGCTATTTCCGGTAATAGAACGATGGATCTAAGGGCAATATCAAGACTTCTGGTCCAGACGACTTACAATTTTCATTCACTCTCCTTATATAAATTCACATATAAAATTTTCTACTGTTTCTTTCACGACAATATCGAAACAATGAAAATATTACTATACAGTTAATCAACGAATATCATCCATAAAAAGGCA